CCATATGTGATGCATGTCAAAAGGGGAAGCAAGTTCGGGCTTCGTTTAAGTCTAAGAACGTTGTTTCAACGTCTAGACCGCTTCAACTTTTGCACATGGATCTTTTTAGTCCTTCTAGAACGAAAAGTTTTGGTGGCAATTACTTTGCGTTTGTGATTGTCGATGACTACTCTAGGTTTACATGGACCTTGTTTCTTACTCATAAAAGTGAAGCATTTCATGTTTTCAAAAATTTTCTAAAGAAAGTTCAAAATGAAAAAGAAACAACCATAGTAGCCATAAGAAGCGACCATGGGGGAGAGTTCGAACGAAATCTGTTTTCAGATTTGTGTGACGAACTTGGCATTGATCATAACTTCTCAGCCCCACGTACACCACAACAAAATGGAGTGGTGGAACGTAAGAATAGATGCCTCGAAGAGATGACTAGAACTATGATCAATGAGGCAAAAATCCCTAAGTATTTTTGGGCGGATGCCGTGAGTACCGCGAGCTACGCGTTAAACCGAGCCATCATTCGACCAATACTCACGAAAACTCCCTATGAACTATACAAAGGGAGAAAGCCAAACCTTTCCCATCTTTGAGTCTTTGGTTGCAAATGTTTTATTCATAATAACGGCAAAGATAACTTGGGAAAATTTGATGCCAAATCGGACGAAGGGATTTTTCTTGGTTATTCTCTTCGCAGCAATGCCTATAGAGTATTTAATAAACGTACTTTGACTATTGAGGAGTCCCCTCATATTGTATTTTCCGAAGATAATCCTCGCTTGGCGAGAAAGGCTATTTGTGATGATCTTGCAGATTCATTAGAGAGAGTACACATTGAAGACGATGAAGAAGACACGACATTATACACCAACCCGCAACCACAACCTGAGGAAACACCTCAAGTGATGGTCGAAAACACCTCAACCTGAGGAAACACCTCAAGTGATGGTCGAAAATGAGGACCCAGCGGACGAAGAAGAACAAGAGGAAGCCCAGGAACAAGAGGAAACCGAGCTTCCCATCGCCTGGAGAACGCACAGAAACCATCCACTTGATCAGGTAATTGGCAGCATCAACCGCGGGGTAAGTACTTGTAACTCTCTTAGGGACACCGTAGGACACATGGCTTTTGTATCTCAAATTGAACCTACAACCATTTCCGAAGCAATAAACGATGAACATTGGACCTTGGCTATGCAAGAGAAGCTAAACTGTTGGAATGAATGAGTTCAACCCTTTCTGTGTTGTTTAGTGTTGACTCACATGTTTTGATAATTGACAAACACAATTTATTCAAGTCAAGATTAAAGTGCTACAACGATAATCACGAAGACTTGAAGTGCCATTCCTTGAAGTATTCAAGAAGGTGCACAGGATTTTGTTGAAGTCCGAGACGCGTTCGGAGCGCCTAACGGAGGACTCAGAGGAGTAGAAGATTTCCGAAGACTTTTTATTTATTTGAGTCTTAGGAATCATTGTAAGGATGACAAAAATATCTTCTCTCCAAAATTACTTTTATGAGAGTTAAAATAAAAATTATATTTATTTTTGGAGTCAGTTGAAAAATCCTTTTAACTGTTCAAAATACATTTATTGGGTCAGTTACAAAAAGTGTGTCAAACATTTATCAAAATATTTATTTTGATATTAGAAAATATTTTTGGAAAGCAAAAATATTTCATTCAAATATTTTTCGTGTACATGGTTTGACACACAAAATAATTTTTGGACGCACTTTTACTCCCTTATTCAAATTCATTGAATAAGAGGATGAGCGTTCTCTGATTCCCGTTGTCTCAAACAACGAGTGTTACGCCAATTCTGCTCTCCATCGCAACTGGCTTGGGCCCTTTGTGTTTTGCGCATTATTTTTTTTGTAATCGATTATATTTCTCTGTTTAATCGATTAACCTTCGTTCGCATTCCATTAATCGATTATTCCTCTTGTTTTAATCGATTAGTCCTCTCAGAGCCTTCTAATCGATTAATCCCTTTGCATTAATCGATTATTTCCGCGTTGAAGGAACTCTGCACAGACTGCATTAATCGATTATTGACACTGCATTAATCGATTATTATGCTGCATTTTTCATCACAGCTTCTTTTCTTGGACCAACTGATATATTCCTTCAACCCCTTTATAAACCTCACTCCTTGGTCATTTTTACTATGAACGAGCACTCCTAAAATCCCCCAATCTTGAGGTTATAATCCTCCATTCATTTTTTCCTCAAATTGATATATTTTGAGAGAAGACTAAGTGTTTTCAAGAGAGTGTTCTTGTCATCCATAGAGCTTAATCTTTTCTCATTTCTACTCTTGTGAGAGTTATTGCTGAGAGGTTGAAGAAGATTGTTCTTCTTGTTGTTCAAGACTTATGTGACTTAAGTCTTGGTTGTGAAGTCTTGTAGAGGGTACATCTACAAGCGGTTGTGTTGAGGCTTGTGAGATTCAAGTTCTCGGTTTGTAAACGGTTTGTCAAGCACCCGTTGAAGCTTGATAAGTAGTGGTAGCTTCGAGAGAGTCTCTCGGGGAACTGGACTAGCCACGAGGTGGTGAACCAGTATACATCGGTGTGTTCTTTGCCTTCTCTCTTTTATTTCCGCTGCACTAACGTTTATTTTATTTATCCTGCGAAAATCGGTAATCATTCTCAACAACTCTATTCACACCCCCTCTAGAGTTGCACGCCTTGTCTAACATAAACCAATTCAAACGAAATGACGTTTGGGAATTGGTCCCAAGGCTTGATGATCGCACGATTATTGGTACGAAATGGGTGTTCCGTAACAAACTTGATGAAAATGGAATAATCACTAGAAACAAATCTAGGCTCGTAGCTAAAGGCTACAATCAAGAAGAAGGCATTGATTTTGAAGAAACGTATGCACCTGTAGCACGTTTAGAAGCTATTCGTTTACTTCTTGCTTTTGCTTCGTCTATGGATTTTAAACTTTATCAAATGGATGTTAAGAGTGCCTTCCTCAATGGTTTTATTCAAGAGGAAGTGTATGTTGACCAGCCCCCGGGGTTTGAGGACTTTGAGTTTCCCGATCA